TGGCTAGGATTTTGTTGAAGATTTTTGCATCTATATTCATGAGGGATATTGGTCTGTAGTTTTCCTTTTGAGTGATGTCTTTGCCTGGTTTTGGTATGTAGGTTATGCTTGCTTCATAAAATGAGTTAGGGAGGATTCCATCCTTTTCTATGTTTTGGAATAGTTTGGGTAGGATTGGTATCACGTCTTCTCTGAATGTTTTGTAGAATTCTCCAGTAAAACCGTCTGCCCTTTTTTGCTTTCCATTGGCTTGGTATATTCTTTTCCATCCTTTAACTTTAATTTGTTTTTATCTTTGTGCCTAAGGTGTGTCTCTTGTAGGCAGCATATCAATGGGTCTTCTTTTCTTATCCAGTCTGCCACTCTCTTTCTCTTGATAGGTGCATTTAGTCCATTCACATTGAGTGTAATTAGTGATAGGTATGAATTGATTAGTGTCATTCTATTTTTTTTTTTTTTTTGTCATGTTGTTGGTGCTTCCTTGGTTTGTATACATTTCTGACCTGAGTTCAGTTTGTTGGCTAATGCTTTCTCCCTTTTCTTCTTTATAGTTGGTTTTGTGTTTATTAAGCTCATTTGTTTTTCTTCCTTCTGGATTTGCTTAGAAGAACTGCTCGTTTTCTCTCTGGTTACCTTGGAGTATATTCTTGTATCTACATTTTTAGAATAGTCCGTGCTGCAAAGACATTGTCATGTTTTCCTCTCCATTTGAGGTTCTGTACCTTGAAGTATTATTCCCTCTGATAGCTTAGCTGCTGTTATAGTGTGCTGATTTAGTTCCTTGGTTTTTAAGATATAATGCTCTATGGTCTTATTTTGAGTATCTATTTCTGATTTGGTTTTAGTATTGATGACATGTATCCTGGTTTTGTTAATCTCTGTTATAGGTTCTCTATTGGAAGGACTTCCTTAAGCATTTCTGTAGGGTCGGTCTGGTTTTCACAAAGTCTCTTAATTTCTGTTTATCTGAGAATGCCTTGATTTTACCCTCATATTTGATGGATAATTTGGCTGGATGTAGGATTCTTGGTTGGAAGTTTTTTTCTTTCAGTGTTTTATATGTGCCATCCCACTGGTTTCTTGCCTGCATGGTTTCTGCTGAGTAATCGGAGCTCAGCCTAACTGTTTGATTATTATAAGTAATATTTCTTTTTTCCTGGGCAGCTCTCAAATTTTTTTCTTTGTCTTTGGTTTTGGAATGTTTGATTATAATATACCTCGGTGTTTCTCTTTTGGGATCTATCTTGTGTGGGGCTCTATGAGCTTCTTGGACAAATATCTTTTCTTCCTTCATGATATGAGGAAGTTTTCTGTTAGCAGGTCTTCCACAATTTTCTCGGTGGGTTTCTCACCTCTTCTTGTTCTGAAATTCCAATGAGTCTTATATTGTTTCCTCTCATGTCACCACATATAATTCTTAGGTTCTCTTCATTTCTTTTAAATCTTTGTTCTGATTTTTCTTCATACAGGCTAGTGTCCAGGGATTTTCTTCTAGTTGGGATATGCGTTCTTCAGCCAGTTCTAATCTATTCTTTTGAGCTTCTACTGTGTTGTGTAGTTCTGTCATTTTGGTGCTCATGCTCTGCATTTCAGTAGACATTTTCTGCATTTCTAACTGCTGTTTTTGTATGAGTTCTGATTGTGCATTAATCTTAATTTCTGTTCCTCAATGATTTTCCTGAGTTCCTCCAGGGAACTGTCTTTGTTCTCCTTGTTTCTGTTTGGGGTTTCCTTAGGCTCTTGTATAGCTCTATAAACATATCTTCTAAATTCCTTCTCAGATAATTCTATTGCTACCTCTTCCTCCATGTATAATGAGACCTTTGTTTGTGGTTTTGCTTCTAATGCTTTGTCCTGTTTTTTTTTTTTTTTGTTTGATTTGAGGTTGCCTGTTGTTTCCTAGATATTTTGAGGTTGTCTTTAACTGTTGGCTACATGTTGATTTGTTTTGTCTTGGTTTTATGGTTTAATATTTTGAAAAGGTAAAGCTAGTGTATTTTATTTTATTATTGATTCAGGTATGCTGGGTTGCTCTGTAATTTTCTTTGTGATGGTGGAATCACTGTGTGGAATGTGGATATGTGTTTCTGTTTGTCGGAAAGAGGGTTAAAGTTCGAACCAGGAGGTTTTACGTTGGCTGACTATGGTTTCTTCTATTGAATGAGTGAAGTTATTGGTGGAGAAGGTGGGAGTGGAAGAAGGAAAGCTTGCTGTTGCTAGGGTTGGTTTCTAGGGTTTTGAGCGGGCTGCCACTGATGATATTGTACTGTTATTTACAATCCTGTGGCCCAATTTCAGGAAAATTCCTGTTGTTAGGATATCACCAGTTTCTGCCAGGCTCAGAAACATGCAAAGACCCTGCTCCTGAGTCCCCTTGGCACCAAAAAGCAGACCCAAGGCAAATTCCTGGGTCTGCACTCAGCCGCGGATTTTTCTCTCTCCAGCCTGCCTGCCCGTATCGCCAGCCCAATCTGCCCAGACCGTGAACAGCTTGGGAGTTTGTGATACCGCCCACCTGCAGTGCCAAAGATGCGTGCAGATTCAGCTGCACTGGAATTGGTGGAGTGCCTGCTAGTAATCCTATGCTCCCAATATAAGTGACAAAGACAAGCACAGACCTCTCAATGCCACCCAAGCTGACCCAAGCCTATTCAGTGACTTGCTGAGGGGGGAGCGAGCTCACCATCCTGGAGCACCAAAGAGCTCTCTGCTTGGGTTTCAGTGGTGTTGCCTGTACCCCTTTGCACCTAACCAACCAAGTTACTGATAATGATAATCAGGTTCAGAAGATAGATCCTTGTGGTGTTTGCTGGTATGTTAGTGTGGTCACTGGTATGCTGATATGAGGTGTCTTCTGCCTTGGCCCAGGGAGATCTCAGGTGGCCATTCTTGCCTGCTGGTCATTCTCCCCAGGGAAGTCTCCAATGGCCTTTCTCGGCCGCCCATCCACACTTTCCGCCAGGTGGATCTTCCTTAATTTCTTTCCCTGTGCCTTTCTTCTAATTCTACTCCTCTGCATTTGGTGCACTCTGATTCAGTAAGCTAGCTGTTCAGAGCACCAAAATCCATAATTCAAACTGCTATACCTAGTTTTTCAAGCACTAAGATGCTAGAGGGAAATAGTGTGGTGATTATTGATGAGACTCCATTTTGAATCCTCCACAAAATTTCTTTTAGATTGAAAAGGGAATAGTTGTTCTGACAAAATAATAAAAAAATAAAATAAAGGAGGTCTGGTGGTATAGTCCCTAAGGCATTTGACTGCTAACCAGAAAGCTGGTGGTTCAAACCCACAAGCAACTCCTCAGAAGGAAGGTTGAGCAATGTACTTCTGTAGTGATACTGCCTCAGAAGTCCAAGGAGGGGTTGCTATGAATCAAATCAACTCAATGTCAGTGAGTTCTTTTAGTAAAGGAGAAAGGACCTCTGGTGGTTTATTGGTTAAGGCATTTGACTGCTAAACAAAAAGTCAGTGGTTCAAACCCACGAGCCTCTCCATGGAAAGAAAATGAGACCGTCTTCTTCTGGAAAGATTTACAGCCTTGAGAACCCAATGAGGGTCACTATGAGTTGGAAACAATTCAATGGCAGTGGGTCTGGTTTGAGTAAGGAATAAACCGAAGGAATCTAACTCTACATTACTTTGCCAGCCTGAAATTACATAGGAAACAAATCCAAATATCCCCAACACCCAATTCAGAGTTCTATAAATATTAAATGACTAACTACTGGTCATACAACACATGTTCTTTTGCAGGTATTACACCAAACTGCTATCTCAGTGTGAGTAGTTTTTGAATATTGTATGTATGATCACAAAGAATGGAGATTAAAAAGATTAATTTCAACTTTATTTTACAACACCCATGTTATAAAAATAGCCATACCTGGTTTTGTTGCATGTAAATTCTGCTTCTCATTGGCATTATGATTTCCAGTTCTCCATTGTTGTAAAACTTCCTGAAAGGACCTGGCAGAAGCTTCTTCGTTGAATGATCCTTCACAAAGGAGCCCATCTTTTTGATTTGCAGATTCTGTTTTTTTTGATGTTGTAAATACTACCTAACACAATTAAAAATGTACGTAAATGTGCTTCACAAAACTTTCTTTATCTTAAAATATGGGTAGTATTAATTTTTGTTGTTGTTGTTGTTGTTATGTGCCGTCAAGTTGGACCCGACTCATAGCGACCCCTCCTTGGGTTTCCGAGGCAGTATCACTACGGAAGTAGATTGCCCCATCTTCCTTCCGAGGA